GGGGGGGGGGGGGGGGGTGCTTCGGGTCTGCGGTACGAGTGTGCGACGAGTATCAAAGTCAGAAGTCAGACACACTAAAGTGTCCTTCTCGTATGAAGAGCCGGTGTCTTGTTATTTTTGTGTTGCGTCACATGCGTTAGTTCGCATTATCATTTCGCGCATCGCCGGAGGTTGGAGCGAGCCGAATGCCTGGACAAAGGGCAGCCCCCTGCCTCCACGTCGGCCAACGACGGCGACCTCGGCGGCCAGACCGAGGAGGCAGGCGGGCTATAGCTCCATGTGCAGATGTGGGAGGGGGTGGGTATACGTACCTCCTCATCCCTCACCCTCAGCGCGGGGGCGGTGTCCTTCGGTGAATGCTGGCGGGCCCGGACGCTCGCCGGGCCCTCACTCCGACATGGTATGGGGATGGGATGGAGAACAACATCAGTTCGGTTCGAGTCGAGACGTGACGCGTGCGAGGCCGCGACCCTCTTCAAGGTGCACGCGGCCGGGGGGCCTCCTGCGACATCACGACTTCGGGCAGACTCCCTACCAAGTGCGCGCGCGCGTGTGTGTGTGTGTGTGTGTGTGTGTGTGTGTGTGTGTGTGTGACAATAATTTCCCCATACCTCTCTGTCTTAGGTGCCGATTGGCGGTGTGCCCCCGCCCCCTCGGAAGATGCAGACGAAACGAGGCAAGGCGCCTGCACCCGCCGCAACCACTGCGGGGGATGAGCACGAGGAACTGGTACCGTAACGCATTGTCTCACATACACTGTAAAACAAGAGGGAGTTGTCTTAAAAATGAGAAGTTAATGTGTGTGGCTGTTTAATTTTTCTCACTGCAATGAGCCATGTCACCATAGATGGGTTTGTCGTGACAAACCAAAATAGCCATGACCTTCTTATTTTCAATGAGACGACCATTTTTGCAGTGTACAGTAGTAACGAGGGTTGTTCTCGTGCCCTCAGACGCTGCAGCGGCTGCCCGACGTTCGGGTCCCCGACTGCTTCAGTACTCTGCCCGACGTGCCCCTGCTCAAGGCGCTGTCCCACCTGGCCGCCGACGACCTGGTGGCCGCGGGGACCGCGAGCGCCCGGCTGGGCGCGCTGACCGGGGCGCACCGGTCGCTGTGGCGGGGCAAGGGCGACGTCGAGGTGGAGAGCGCGGAGGGGCTGCGCGTCCTGGTGCAGGTCGCGCCGCCCGTCGACTGGCTGCAGCTGAGGGTGCTCTCCTACGAGCAGTTCTACGCCACGTTCACGGAGAGCTTCGGCAGGTGTGGTCCGGGACAAGTGTTGCCAATAACGGCTCTTCCGCTGCAGCTGCACTTCACTAACCACCCGCCCGCCCTCTCCCCTCCTGTCTGCAGTGACGCGGTGACCAGGCTGACGGTGGAGGGCCCCGGCGTGGAGCTCGCCGCCAGCCTCGTCCGGGACCTGGCGCCGACCCTGAGGCGGCTCGAGGTGTCGCGGCTCGACGTGGACATGCTCCTGGACGCGCTGCGGGCGGCGCGACGCCTGCACACCCTGGCCGTCACGGTGGCGTCCGGCCGGGGCGCGGTGACCGCCAACCGGCCGCAGGTGAGTGCGGCGAAGTGTCCGAGTACGTAGGCGTGCGCGAGGCGACCCCACCGACACCGCGTGTCTAACGATGTGCTGTTTGCAGGAGGATGTGAAGCTGCCCAGGCTGCGTTCCCTGGAATTGCACTGCGATTCCGACCTGGCGCCGAGCACGGTCACGCTCGCGACCCTGCAATCGCTGGTGCAAGGACACTCGTAAGCACCACGACACGTAGGCGCCTCCTCCACCGAAGTTGGCACTAGAAGCTCAAGCGTACACCGATTTTTCTTGATTTTTTTAGGCTGATTATTTATTGATTGTTAATTACTTTTCCCGTCGCAGGGCCCAGCTGCGCTCCGTGTCGCTGTGCTCGCCGCGGCTGCTGCCGCTGCTGGACGCGTGCCCCCGCGACCTCCGCCGGCTGACCGTGGCGCTGGGCCCGGGCCTGGCCGCGCTCCTGCGCGCCAGGATGCAGGGCCTGCGCGAGCTCGCCGTCGACATGCTCGGGGGCCCCGGCGGTGGCGGTGCCGGGCACTGGGACGCTGCTCGGCGCGAGGTACGTACCATGGCGCCTTACGGGCAGAGCGAGTTAGCAAACTCGCCCGCATAATTGCGTCTTCTCGCTGGTGCACCGATTTTTCTGTTGTTTTTTTTTTCTTGGATTTTTTTACGCTTTCTTATTGTTTAATTCTGTTTTCAGTGAAGTAGCCAAGTTCCCTTTGTGACGTCCGCAGGTCGAGGGCCTGCTGAGGTCTTGGCGCGGGCCCCTGAGGCGCCTGAGGCTCGCCAACAGCCGCGCGGAGACGCTGCGCGCCGTGGGGGCGGGCGCGCTGGCCGGCCTCCGCCACCTGGACGTGGAGTGCCTCGTCGGCCCCGTGCAGCCGCTGCCGGCGCTGGCCGGCCTGCCCCGCCTCCGCTCGCTCGTGCTCCGCGACGCGCCGCCGCGCTGGTGGGCGTTCCACTGGATCCCCGCCGCCGCCATCCCCGCTCTCGAGCTGCTCGTCGTCGCGAGCGCCACGTCTTGTGCCCGCGCTCGGTGCCGATACGAAGGTAAGATTAATGCAAGGAATCCACTCAACAACAAACAAAAATCCAGAAAAAAAATAGAAGAAGATAAGGAAAAAAAGAAAAAAATCAGGAAGAAAACAGAAAAAATAGAAGAAAGAAATCAGAAAGAAAAACAGAAAGGGAAAAAAACGAGATAAAATCAGGAAAAAAATATAAAAAAACACGATGAAACAGGAAAATTGGTGTAGTACGCTTACGCTTGTATTTACGTATACGTAGAGGGCTTTTCAGAATGGTGCCTTCATTTTAGCTTTTTCAAAAATTCGTATCGTCGTCGCCTCTCCCGCTCTGGCAATAATTCCCATGTGCTTCTCCGCAGACTGCCCGGTGGTCCTGAAGCTGGTCCCGGTGCTGCAGGGCCTGGTGCTCCGCGCGCCCAAGTCCCTCCACGTCGTGCTGCGCTTGGCGTGCAGCGAGTCCTCGGACTCGGACTTCCGGTGCCCCGTGTTCTTCTTGCACGCCGCCACCGACGCCGACTGTCCGCTGTGCGCCGAGGCCGTCGCCGCTCTCCGCTCGCTCGACGACACCAACACCACAGAAGTGCTCCGCGTTGAAGTAGACTGTGCAAACTGTGCTTAATTTATTGTGGCTTCGAATAAAAACTATCCTAGCTGCTCCAACAAAAATAATCTTTTTGATCTCATTTTTCTCGAACTGGCTCTTAGCTCGGCCCTTTTTTGGCAGCCTGTATTGTACCAAAACATGATTTTTTGTCTCCGACAAATCGGTACTCTGTCCGACTGTTTGCAAACTCTTAACTAAGTCGTGGCTATCGAACTGCGTCGGTAATAAACCATTCCGGTAAAGCTGAAATGAAGAAGAATGTAAGGATATCTGCAATTTTCCACTACATCGTTAGTAAACAAACAACAATGGACGTAGAGGGTTAACTTTGTGCACACGGGGCAATAGCTTCCAAGTCGAAAAATGGGCTGGATTGTCCCTACTCCCTTCCCCATCTGGAGAGATCCTGGTTCCGCGCGCCGGTTAGGTGGGCAACCCACCGCGCGGGCGCGCCCGGGGGGATGGCCTGACTGCTCGGCGCCACTGCCCTCACCCGACAACCCCTCCTTCACACAGGGGTTGAGAGAACCAATCAACGCGGTCCAACGCTGAAACTACTCGTGAAGCCGCCCCCCCCCCCTCTGTTTCCATCCGCTCCTGGAGCTGGTAGACTGACGGACCAAAAGTGCGAGATCAGCGCGCGTTCCCCGAGATGCAGATAAGCAAGCGCCCGGACGGCTCAGCCAGGCAGGATAGCGACGAGACACACGGGCGGGCAGTCCGGCTGCAGCACCCACCCCAGGCAGAGCGGAATGCCAGGTACCTCCTCGTCGTTCTGACCTTACGGAGGTACGTGTCTGCCGCCAGTTTGTTGTCTTGTCTGTAAGTACAATACTTATGTGTTACTTCGGCCAACGGACATAGAAGCTCTCGATTGGCCGACCGTTTACCCCCGCTATCGCTCTGAGCGATCACAGCGCGCCCTAGCGGCGGGCGCCGCGCTGGTCCCAAAGGCCAAACCGACAGGAGGACAGAGGAGGAAAGGACGCACGACAGGTATGCTCCATGCTCGCTACGTTTGTTCAGTTAGTTTGGTTTTGTTTCTCGTTGCTCTTTTGGAGTTTGCCGGCAGAGAAGGTGCGACAGATTTTCAGTCCGGGTTTAGTTTTGTTTTCTCCCCCGGTTCTTAACGTCGTGGGTGTTTGTGTGAAGTTTGATGAGGGAACGATGTTGATTGCAGAGACTTGGACTCTTTGAGCGTGCCTCTGTTTCAGGTTAGGTCACCCACCTGTTGGCTTGGTTCTGACTTCTTTAACTTTGACGAGCGCACCGATCTTTATGTCCACCTGTGAGGAGAACAGCATGTCGCAGACGGCGGATGCCGCATCTGCTGAGGATGATGGACTGGTAACCTAGCAACTAGTACCATTAGAGCCTATAAAGTAAAACATTTTCGACGTATTTGAAGCGAATTACCGCATTAAACGCAGTGAGAATGTGATACCTTAACGTGCACTTAATGCGGTAATGCGCGTTAAAAGTGCAATAGGCGCTATTGGGGCGACATATTCCCAGAACAACAGATGCATTTTACCCTCATATTTGCTATCAACTGCTCTGTAACTGTGTATTGGCGATTAAAAGTACCGGTTCCAACATCCAGCACTGCATATTTGACCGCCGAAACACAGAGTTCGTAGATTGTCAGTATTCTAACCCTACTTTCGGAAAGTACCATGATGCAGTAGGCTGTTAGTAAAACAAAATGTTGCTATCAGCATGCCCATTTACTTGCGGATGTTATGATCATAAGGTCAAATATGAGGTTATAAGGCCTTAAGTTGATAGGTCGGGTAGCGCCAACGCACTTTAATAGACCATTTCAGGCGAGGTGATAAGAAGAAGAAAAGAATCAACAAACCGGAAAAGCACTGCCTTCTAATCGCCCCCCACCCTCCGTCCCCCTTCACCCCTCGCCCAACTGTTTCCTGTTTTGGTGATTCTTTTCTTCTTCTTGTAATCGCGACTGAAATGGTCTATTGCGCATAAGCTGCAGGAATGCGCATTAAAATGGTGACACATTATTATTTGGTGCACATAACGCGCATTTAATGCGTTAATGCGACACCAATGTGTCACCCCTTATATATGCATTTATACATTGCATTTGAAGCGCGTACTGCATTGAGGCGCTTCTGGGGAGAGCCCATTTCATGGTCACTCTTTGCCCTCGCAGACGCTCACGCTGATCGACTTGCCCGACGTGGCCCTCCTGCGCCTGCTCTCCTACCTGCCCGCCAAGGACCTGGTGGCCGCCGGCCAAGCCAGCCCCCGGCTCGGGGCGCTCACCAGGGAGCACATGCCGTTGTGGCGCAGAAAGGAGGGCGTGTTCGTGTTCGACCACGTCGAGGGACTCGTCGACCTGCTGCAGGTCGTAGCACCAGTGCAGACCTTGGTCTATAACCTCAGCCAGTCACAAGAATTTTTAGCTGAATTCAGTTTTGTTGAGCCCGGCGGTAATCAGCAACCACTGGTCTCGCTCAAAGTGATTGCCCCCAATGTGGAGTGCTTTAAAATTATCACCAAAAAATCTGGCCCGAGACTTGTCGCCCTAGAGTTTTTCTTTTTCGAGCGTGGGCCAGAGGAGTTCTTCGCAGGCCTGCAGGATGCCACCGCCTTGGAAAACCTGACCCTGTACTGGGGTGATCCAGATGCTGGTGCCCGGTGTACTGCCAGGTGGCCGCAGGTGAGTGCGGGCGCGTCTGGGCCGGTCTGGGCACACCTGGAACTCGGCAACGGTTCTACCTTTTGTCTGCTTTACAGGGAGTGGTACTGGACAGGCTGGTGATCTTAAATTTGGCGTGGGGGAGGCTGCTCGTTGCGGACCCTGAGAACTTCGGGGCGGTCACCGTCCGCTTGCCAACTCTGAACTCCGACCCGTTCCAGGCCGTCCGGTCGCTGATACAAGCGCACAGGTAAGTGTCCGGGGAACTGCAGAGGGATGGACGGCGCTGCCGTCTCCCCCCTGACCCCGAGAACCCGCGGGAGGTCTCTGATGACCACGCTGACCCTGCTCGATAACCCCTCCCCCAGCGGCTTGCCATAGTGTCTTAATCGAGGCTGACTTGCCTGCAGCGAGAAGCTGCGTCACGCGGAGCTGAGCTCCTGGTACCTGCTGCCGCTCCTGAAACCCTGCATCCGAAACCTCTGGCTCCTGCACGTACACTCAGATGAAGGCGTGTCAACGGCGCTGCAAATACCCGAGCTGCGGCAGATGCCAGAGCTGAAGGAGCTGACCATCAACGTCGAGGCGTTTTCGCCAGAGGTACGCCTACTGACGCATCCCCCTCTCCCCTCGTGCTCGCCTGCCCTCCACAACCTCGCTGTCCTGTTCTCAGGTGGAGTCCTTGCTGAAGGCCTGGCCGGCCCCGAGCGATGTCCGAGTCCTTGAGCTCCGTGATTGCATTGATCTAGCCGTCGTGCGAGGACTAAGGGCGGGCAGGTTCAAAACCGTGATAAGTCTCGAGATAACCTTGGTTGGCCAGATTGAAAGTGACGTGGATTCCGGGCGACTAGAGGAGGGGCTCCAGGGACTACCCAACCTCGCGATGCTGCGTCTCTGCGCCAAGCGCGAGCAGCCCATGCCGTTGACCAAGCTACTCTCGCGCATCTCGGTCACCACCATTCCTGAACTGCTACTTGCCTTCATCGAGGACGGCCTAGTTACGTTCAACTTGGCCCCCATCACGCAGCACGATTATGCGGGCTACAAAGGTGAGTGCCTTGAAGTGGATCCCCCTGTCTGTGGTTTTGTTGTGCTCGTGCTCAGTGCAGGGCTCTGTCCGCAGACTGCCGGGAGCTAGTGCGCCGCGCACCCCAGCCGCTCCACGTTGTCGTCATCCTGAGGTGTGTGAGGGTGACGATGGGGTTTGGCGTGACTCAGGACATGGTAGCCACCTTGTTCTTCAGGCACTCCGTCGCTGAGCAGTGTGAAACCTGCGGTCTTGCCGAAACGAGCGTGTGCAAGTCGATCGGGGCCAACATTCACAAGCGTGTCCAGGTCAAACTGTGATTCACCCTCTGCTGTCACGCTAATTTTTGAATAAATAATGTTTCAAGAAAAACCGCATGTTCCTTTTCACGGCACCTACACATGGGAATGACAAATGGGACCACACTTTGAAACAGAGATTAACACTTTTGTTGTTTCGAATCAAAATGGCCTGTAGGGAGTAAACAGATAACTGTGTTGTTAAAAGCCGAAGCTGTAACGGGGCTCAGTCATCATTGAACTTGAACTGAACTGTCATCTGAAAGAGCGGGGTCGGCGGCGGCCTCGCTCCTCGTCGTGGCCACCGCGCGGAGCTCCCCCACCCAACTGAGAAGTTTTTGCGACGTTACGTCGCTATAGCGATGGAAAAATGGGCCTGAAATCGACCGCTTTTCAACAGTCGATGTCGACTGCCGAAAACCCGTCGATGTCAGGTCCATTTTTGTATCGGCTAACTACGTGAAAATCGATGTCGAAACGATATCGTCGCATTGATTTCTCACTGGGAAGGTGGGATTTCCTGGAGGTGCGCGCGCCGGTGGGTAGGCAGCCCACTGCGCAGGAGCGCTTGGCGGGCCAGTCTGTTGGTCCGCGCGAGGCGCTCGCCATCGCCAGCCCTCTCTCCTGGGTAGGGGCGGGGGGCGGCGGCGGCGAGAGGCAGAGAGGTGCTCGAGAAGTACCACTGTGTGCGAACGGGACTCTAACTGACGACAAAGAATCGACAGCGCGACATTTGAAGAACATTTTTGAAGAAATCTTCTACCAGTCAGTTAAAAGTGTTCCTCCTAGCGAGTCATCCACTTAAGTCGCGGGCCTCGCCTTGGTCGACAACCCTCAGTCTCAGTCCGCCGCCAGGTGTCACTGCGGTCGCAAGCTGACGAGCCAGACGCGTTGTTGAGTCGCCGAAGGTTTTGTTGGTGAAGTTGAAGTCTTCGCCTCGTCACCGTCACCTGCACTCGTTTAAAACCGGTACGTTTCTTTGTGCAACGGCGACGCCGTACCCCTTTGCTGGTAACTCCGCGCGGGGACGAAGGGATGGGAAATGTGAACCCCTGAGTGCGCGTCTCTGGTTTGAGGTTAGGTCACCTGTTTGCAGATCCCGCATCGCTCCCCTCGCCCTCCCTTCGAGCGCGATGGGATCTGTAACACCTTCAACCATGACAGTCGAAGGAGAGAAACTGGTAAGGAAGAAAAGTGTATTTTTTCTGTGTTTTTTTTGTGAAAGAATGAGCCGGGGGTGGGGGCTTTTGTGCATTTTTTTCGGTGCTCCTGTTTTTTTTTCGGCATTTGGAGTTGAAGATGGTGCAAAGACTTTACTATTCTCTGCATATTTTTCTCCGCTTTACTTGTTCTTAAAGTGTTAAAAAATAAAACAAAAAGTGATGCCGAAATTTGTGCCGCATACGCCCAGCTTTACCCTTCAAAAATATTATTGTTTTTATTTTAATCTGTGCAGTCTTTTAAGCTATTTTACAACTTTGCGCCAAACCTCACTCTTCCGCCTTTTTACCTATCTTTTTTTCTTCGACTTCGCGCCCGGCGATGCCCGCAGACGCTGCTGTCGCTGCCGGACCCGCCGCTGCTCAGGGTGCTCTCCCTCTTGCCCGTCGAGGCCCTGGGCGCGGCCGCGCGCGCTTGCTCGCGGCTTGGCGCGCTGACGCGGGAGCACCCGTCGCTGTGGCCGGGGCGGGGCGAGCTGGTCGAGTTCTGGGAGTACGAGGACCTCCTGGACCTGGTGCGGGTCGCGCCGCGCGTCGCCATCCTGAGGCTGTTCTCGGTCGACGAGATCGACGAGCAGAATGAACCTTACGCGTCCGCGCGCTTCAACTACCGCGACAGGTGGGCACCGCGGAGGGCTCAGCCAGCTCCTCCAGTGACAAGCTGTCGCCAGTCAGTAACGGGGTGTTCTGTTCTCTCTCCAGCAAGCTGACGGTGGGCACCGAGCACGACGTCGCCAGCCTCATCCTGGAGCTGGGGCCCAGCCTCAAGCACTTCGTCATGACCAAGTACCGGGGCGTCTCCCCGCTCGCCAGCCTGAGGGAGGTCGGCAGCCTGGAGACGCTGTACGTCCGGCTGGTGGACGGCGGCGGCGACCTCGACTGGCCGCAGGTGAGTGTGGCGTCGCGTCGGGCGGGCGCCCAGAGCGTCGTCCTCACAAAGGGGGGGCAACCCGACATGTCCACGGTAAATACGTCCACATCAGTTCGGACATAAATGAAGCGCTTTGCAAAATTATGTCCAATGATTTGGATGTAAATTAAAGCCTGCGATTTTTACGTCCACAGTGTGGATGTACTTGCGATCCGTGTAAGGCTGGCAAAAATAACTCCACAAAATCTGGCGCTTATTGTCGCCTCTGTGATTTACACATCATCAGGAATGACAAAAGGAACCAAAGAGTAAACGCCTTCCTGTATGTCTGTTTCTCCTCTGCATTGATAAACTAAGTTATCAACTGTTCAACACTTTTGAAGTGTGCAACAGAGTTGTTTTGCTCTTACAAGTGTAGCGCGCGACATGAGCGGCAATATGCACTGAGCCCAAACCGGGAATGTACCCCACGGTAACTCTATGAAAATCTTATGACTTTATCAAGGGTAGGAATGTCCTACGCTTAGAGCGTAGTCCTACAGTTTCTGAGTAGCACCAGCTTGATCTACACTCGGATGTGTGGGACTTTTGCCCCACTCTCGCAACTGTCGTACTGTTCGATTTTCAGCGTGATCACTCTCGAGCAGAACGTCATCCGTGTGATGTAAATGCGAAAAGACAAATGACAACAGATTTTGTGGAGCTATTTTCACCAGCCCCACACGGCTCGTAAGTACATCCACACTGTGGATGTAACAAACGCATCTGTTAATTTACGTCCAAATCATTGGATGTAAACCTGTGGACGTGTTTTCACTTCGCGCACATTCTGTGGACGGATTTACTGTGGACGTGTCGGTCCCGCCCCCACAAAGGAGGTCGTCCTGGCCGCGCCGACCCTGCAGCGTCCGACCGGTCTCTGTCCGCAGGACGCGGTGCTGCCCAAGCTGCACTCCGTGCAGCTGCACTGCGAGGACGACCACGTCCCGAGCGGAGCCACCCTGGACGCACTCCGCGCGCTGCTGCAGGCGCACAGGTAGATTTCCGCAAAATTTCATGTTGTCCGGGTAGAAACGGTTTTCCCTGTATTTTTCTGGTAAATTTTGGGAAAATTGAAAAGTGAATGGATTTTTTGAATCTTGTTTCGGTTTTTTCCTGAAAGGTTTATTTATTTCCCTCGCTATTTTTTTCGGGGTTTACTGATCTTTTAATCCTTATTGCTGCCACCATCCACCCTTGGCACCAGCACTACCAATGCTGTCAAATCTGAACTTTTTCTACGACAAGTTAAAATTTGCTAATTTAAATGTGATATTTGCTTGTAGCGGGCAGCTGCGCTTCGTGTCGCTGGGCTCGCCGCAACTGCTGCCGCTCCTGGAAGCGTGCCGCGGCCAGCTGAGGCGGCTGACGGTGGCAGCGGCCCCGGGGGTGGCGGCGGGTCTGCGCTGCGTGCAAGGGCTCGAGGAGCTCAGGATCATCCTGGACCACGACCGACGGGAGAAGGTGGGTGCTGGAGCGGCTCTCTCAACCAAGGGTGTACACCCTCCAAAAAATCAGGGGTAAAATAAAAAAAATAAGGAAAGATTAGAAAATTATTTTATTAAAACAATTTCTGTCTTGCGAAAAATTTGGGAAATTTTGGGGGAAAATGAGGAATAAGTCAACGAAAAACAGACAAATTGGTGTACTACCCTCGCTGTTGACCCGGCTGGACCAGGTCAACAGCAATTGCCTGTGACTCATGTGCGCTGGTTTTCAGGAGGTGGACGACCTGCTGCGGACCTGGCCCGGCTGCCCGCTCGTGCGCGTGGAGCTCGTGCACTGCGGGGACGCGACGCTGGGCGCGCTGGGCGCGGGCGCGCTCGCGGGCGTGCGCCACCTCGTCCTGGAGTCCCCCTACAGGCGCCTGCACGCCCTGGGCGCGGCGCTGGCCGGCCTGCCCGCCCTGTGCTGCCTGGACCTGCGCGCCGCGCCCTCGCCCGAGGTGCTCCGCGACGTGGCCGCCGCCGACATCCCCGCCCTGCAGCTGCTCATCGTCACGAGCTGCGACGCCTCCAGTAAGTATCGAACGCCGACTCGACCCATCGACTCTCGATGATATCGAGTGATATCGCAATATCGAATCAAATCGAGAAACGATGTGTCTGAAAATGATCCGTACATCGCGATATTTCTACATCGATATCGGGAGGATATCGATCCCTCGATATCGGACAATATTGTATCGATATATCGAAATATCTTGTTCGTCCGTGCAGAGCGCGACCGCGAGCCGCCCCTGCTGTGCGCCCGGCCGCCGTCCGACGCGGAGCTGCTGCCGGCCCTCGCCGACCTGGTGCTGCGCGCGCCCGCCCCCCTGCACGTGTGGCTGCGGCAGTACCGCTGGCGCCCGCTCGAGCCGAGGCTGCGGTGCCGCCTGCTGTTCGCGCACCCCGCCCCCGCGGAGCCCGCCGCGGAGCCCTGCCCCTGGTGCTGGCTGTGCGCGCCGGCCGCCGCCCCGCTGCGCTCCGACTTCCGCATGCCCGTCGAGTCCGCCGAGGTGGTGGAGAGCGCCCGCGTGCACCGCTGTGACTGTTGATTGCTGTTTGAAATACACCCTGTACACTCGGCGACGCCGAAAAAGCAAACTTGTGTAACTTTATTGGGAAAAGTGCGTGTGTGTGCGTGTGCGTGCGTGTGTGTGTGTGTGCGTGCGTGTGTGTGTGTGTGTGTGTGTGTGTGCGCGCGCGCTCGGAGGAGAAAGGGTGTTGGAGGGGGGGGCGTGAGTAGATAACGCTACACACAGCACCCGCCCGGGTAGCTTGTCTTTGGTCGCCTCACTGTTACTTTGCTGCTCGCGGGTTTGGGCCGAGGAGCAGGGTTCTGATTGGGTTAAAAGGCGTTCGGGCCCATCACGTGATCTTTTACGAAGCGCAAAGTAAGTAGTCGTGCTCATACGCCCTCCAACTCTACCGAACAGTCGGTGGCCCGTCGGCTCCGTGGCTGCAGCTGCTTCATCCCCCCTGACTGGACTCGCCACCTGAGCGAGCGCGGCGCCCTCTGGCAGCGGCCACGGTGGTAGGCCGACGGCGAGCGAACGAGGACGCAGCTAGTGGCGTTCGGTTTGTTGTATTTCGTGTGACCGTTTCCCTTTTTGGAGTTACGTCCGAATCTTTCTTATCCGGGTACGTATGTCGTTTATCGAGTGACGCAAGCCTCCTCTTTGCTCTGTTACCGGTACTTAACGTGTTTGGTTGTGTGGAGCGTGTTTGAGGTGTGTCGTCGGCTGCCGTCCCCAAACTGTGCCTCTGTTTCAGGTTAGGTCGCCCACCTGTTTGGTTTTGCCTTACGCACCGACCCTGCCCCTGTGAGGAGATATTATTATTGCTGGAGTATGGCGCAGACGACGGATGCCGCGTCCGTGGAGGACGACGGGCTGGTAATGTACAATTTCATTTATGTTCCACTCTGTAGAAGACGTTCACTGTCACTGTCCGCGTCTGCCGGCGCGGTGCCGGCTCCAGGGGATGGGAACGACTTAGCAGATGATACCTTAAAAACCTGTTGACTAAACATAAAGAATATGTAAGAAACTTTAAGGAGTCAGCTAGCTTTTACTCCCGATAAGTACAGAGAACCAAGCGCAGACCAGAAAACAATTTCTTTGGCGCAGGTGAACCGAGTGAGTGAGTGCCTGGCTGACCCACACCGTTCAAACGGGGTGGCGGGACCGGCTGTCGTTGGGGTTGAGTCCGCGCCACCCCCCGCGCGTGGGCGCGGGTCCCCGCGGCTGCCGGCAGGCGGCGCCCCCGCCCGGGTCTGCGCGCCGCGGCGCCGCCCCGCCGCGGCTGTGCCTCGCCGCCCCGCCGCTAGAGGGCGCGCGCCGCTCTACATCGCGTGCTCCGCGCGCTGCTGTTGCTGCAGCAGCGCGTCCAGCAGGCCCTCGCGCTCCCACTCGACGAAGAACTGCCTGGCGACCTTCCTCGCCGGCTCGCGGTCCAGGGCCAGGTCCCGGGGGTGCGGGCCGTCGCCGTGGTGCACGTCGACGAGGTTGTCCCAGACGAGCCCGAGCGAGTGCGGCGCCAGGATGAGCGCCGAGCTCGCCGTCACGTGCACCACCTCGGCCATCCCCCGTCGCCGCAGGTCCGCCTGGGGGAACAGGCAGATCAGAAAGCATGAGGAACCGTGGGGGGGGGGGGGGGCGCTCTTTACAAAGCACGGCATGCGTGGGGTCGCCCCCGCTCACCTTGATCTCGTCCAGGGTGGGCACGAGGCGGGCGCCCATAGCGGAGAGGCAGGCCGCCAACTCGGCGTGGTACTCGGCCAGCATGGCGTCGCGGCGGGCGCGCGCCTCGCCGCTCACGCTCGACATGAGGTACGTCAGGTCGCTGCTGGGCGAGCCCCACGTCGTGATCTGGAAGTCGATGAACCGGGCCTCGACGGGCTGCTCGGGGCAGAGGAGGAGGGATGAGTGTTAGGAGAGCACCCCGACAAGCACCCCGGTAGAGCACCCCGGTAGAGCACCCCGGTAGAGCACCCCGACGAGCACCCCGGTGAGCACCCCGGCGAGCACCTCGGTAATGCCGCAGGCGAGCACCCCGACGAGCACCCGGACGAGCACCCCGACGAGTACCCCAACGAGTACCCCAACGAGTACCCCAACGAGCACCCCAACGAGCACCCTGACGACTACCCCGAGCACCCCGACGAGCACCCCGACGAGCACCCCGACGAGTACCTCGACGAGTACCTCGACGAGTACCTCGACACGCGATAACCCCTTATCACCGCGGCAGTCAACCTCCACGGGCCCTATTCAATGTTTGCTCTATAATTCGCAATCTCTCGCTCCTGTCTGGCTGGCTCCTCGCCACGTGCTCGGCTCTCTCTCCGCCGTACCTTTCCGCCGGCGTCGTACTTGAAGAGCACGTTGCCCATCCACAGGTCGCCGTGCAGGCACGTGTTGAAGGCGCCGCCGCCCAGCGGGTCCGGGCGGTGCGCGGCCACCAGCCGCTCGGCGCAGTCGGGCTGCAGGCGGCGCAGCTTGGCCGCCGTGCTGCGCGAGAGCGCGTCCGGCCAGCGCTCCGCGTGCTGCAGGAACCGCGCGAAGCCCTTGACCTGGCGAAGGCGAGAAACATGGCGGGGGTGAGGCAGGGCAGGGGCGGGACCGAGGAGTAATTCATTCTTAATTCAAGCATACACCTATTTTTCTGATTTTTCTAATTTTCTTTAATTTCCTGATTTTTTTTAGTTTTAAAAAAATTAGTTTTGCTTAAC